CTGCTTTCAGCTAAGATGCATCTAACATCAGCTACAATATCCCTAGTACCACAACCCCTTCTAAACCCAGCCTGGACTTCTGGCAGTTCTCTGCTGATACACTTTTCCAGTCGTTTTTGGATAATCTTCAGTAGAATCTTGCTTGCATATGAAATAAATGATATTGTCCTGTAGTTTCCAACATTATATTGACAAATAACCAAAAAAAATAAACACAACATCCATCAAAATGAGAATTGATTAAATTTAAAAATTTATTTGATGGTGTATTCAGATATTATACAGAATTAAATGTATTTTTGTCCTCTGACCCAGACATAGGCAAAAGCAAGTGTAATCTTTTATGGAGAGTTCCTGGTTAGCACACATAGTTAAGTGATTAGCCGTTAGCTTACAAGTTGATTTTGAACCTTCCCTGGGGCACCTCTGAGTATAGACCTAGCTATGTGTTCCTCAAAAGATGAATTGCATTGGGAAAATCTGCTGTTAGGGACCTCTTTAGAGTACTGAAGAGCAATGATGTCAGTCTAAAAACTAAAGTGCCCTTGATCCAGGCCGTGATCTTTGCAGTTACCTGCTATGCCTCAAAAGCTGGACAATGACTAAGGATGATAGAAAGAGAATTGATGCCTTTGAATTGTGGTTCTGGAGCAGAGTATTGAATATACCAGGACTTCTAGGAGATGAAACAAGTTCGTCCTGGAGAGAGTGAAATTAGGCTGCTCCTTGGAGACAATGATTTTGAAGCTTCATCTGCATGTTGCCAGGGGGGACCAATCCTTGGAGAGGGGCATCATGCTTGGGAGGGTGGAGGGACAATGCAGGAGAGGAAAGACCCTGCATGAGATGAATTGACTCAGTGGCTGGGATAATGGGGGAGGTGTGTCAGAGACAATGAGGTTGGCTCAAGATAGAGCAGGGTTCAGAACTGTTGTATATAGGGTAACTATCAGTCACAATCAACTCAACAACAAATAATAACATGTACTCCTCCACTCTAAAAAGGTCATAAAACTATAATTTTAAGACCCAAGATTGAAAACCCTATGGAGCAGTTCTTTGCACACATGGGTGATCATAAGTTTAACTCACCTTGATAGCAACTAACAATAGAAAATGGTTATAACAGAAAAAGAAATTGAAAAGCGGCCATTGGTGTTCAGTGTTAGCGAGGTTCGTTGGTATGTGCCTGCCAAAAGAACCAATGAGATGGTTCAGGTTCGTTAACCCACCAAAATTTTAATCTGATTAAAAGAGAAATTATCTGTATCTTCTATTTCTTTTTTCTTTTTTAATATATTTTTACAGCATATTCTTCCCATTTAATGTTTTCTCTTATTCATTCATTGTTGCACATTTTCCTCCCTGCCTACCCCTCCCCCCAGTCACTTTTTTCTTTGAAAAGAAAAGAAAAATTCTTACATTGTTATACAATCTCTCCCGCCCCCCACCCCACCTCCCCACCCCACCCCCGTCCCCAAGTCCACAGTCCTCTTTACTATGCATTTCTTTTTCTGGAATCTTGTCATGAAAATAGTACTTGATCATATATTACTTTTAAACAGTTTTCTCCCTCATCTCTTTCAATGCAGTACACATTATCACTTCTTTCTCAGTCTCCCCCCAAAACCGATGTCAGTCCCATTTTACAACAGTGGCACTATGCAGTATTTGTCCATTTGTGACTGAGATAATTCATTCAGCATAATGTCCTCCAGGGTCACCCATTTTCTGTATTTTGTGAGTTCTTTGTTTTTCAGTGCTGCATAGTATTTCATTGTATGAATATACCACAGCTTGGGTTGTTTCCAACTCCTTGCTATTGTGAACAAAGCAGCAATAAACATGGGTGTGCATATATCTGCTTTGCTAGCAGTTCTGGGTTTTTTAGGGTATATTCCCAGTAGTGGAATTGCTGGGTCAAATGGTATTTCTATTTGCAACTTTTTAAGAAAGCACCATACTGCCTTCCACAGTGGTTGCACCATTTTACACTCCCACCAAGAGTGAGTAAGGGTTCCAGTTTCTCCACAACCTCGCTGGCATTTGTTGTTTGCAGCTCTGTTGAATTTTACTATTCTAACTGGGGTGAGATGATATCTCATAGTTGTTTTGATTTGCTTCTTAGAGCTAGGGATTTTGAACATTTCTTCATGTGTGTTTGCCATCTGAATGTCTTCTTTGGTGAAGTGTCAGTTTATATCCTGTGCTCATTTTGCAATTGGGTTGTTTACTTTTATCTTGTTGTGGTACTTGAATATTCTATAAATTCTAGCTATTTATCAGGCATGTTATTACAAATATTTTTCCCCAGTATGTGGCTTCCCTTTTTACCCTTTTGGAGAAGTTTTTGGATGTGCATAGGGATTTGATTCTTAGAAGGGCCCATTCATCTCTTTTATCTTCCTGGTTGTAGGTATATTTTCTATTTGTAAAGGCTTCTGACTGGCTTGAGGTTCTTTTTTTTAAAAAGACCCCTATTTCTTCATTTGAGTGTAAGCTCACAAATAATGTTAGTTCTTCATTTCATCATTCATACATATTTTGTTTTATAGCATTGTATATACAGTTTCATTAGATTATTCTTACACATTTTCTTTATAATATTAAATACAATAGATAATGCAATTTTTTTACATAATTACAATGTTTTATCAACTCTTTATTGTATATTGCCTTTACCTTCATTCAACTTAGTTTTTTATTAATTTTACTCCCATCTACCTCCCTTGCTTTCCTGGTAACTATCCAGGAATGATTCTGTGTGTGTATATATTTTTCCTTAGTTTTTAATAATAGTGGTCTTACGCCTTAAATAGTCTTTTTTGACAGATTTCATTCATTTAGCATAATATATACCATAATTGCTTTATCCACTTGTCAGTTGATAGATACTTAGAGTGTCTCCATCTCTTTGCTATTGTCAAAAATGCTGCAGTGAATATGAATGTACATATATCTGTTTGTGTGACAGCTCTTATTTTTTTTTTTTTTTATACATACCTAGAAAGGTTGCTATATCAAGTGATATTTCTATTCCTAACTTTTAAGGAAGTGCTAATCTGCTTTTCATAATTGAGTGCCTCTTTTTACATTTCTACCAGTAGTGTATGAGAGTTTTAATCTATCAAGATTATTTCTAAAGTGATTTGCAGAAAGCAAGCATAACTTGATGTTACTATTAAAAAAAATACCTCTTGTTCTTCCTGATGGAGCTCTGGTGGTGTTGTCCATAGATAGATGTGCTGTTAAACTAAAGCCTACACCTACCTCTCTAGTGTTTGAATCCACTGGTAACTCTGCAAGAGAAAGATGGGCAGTCTCTTCACTTGTGGTTTACAGCCTTGGAAAACCTGAAGGAAGGTCAAATCACAGTACTGAATTGAGGTTTCTTTTATTCTTTCTGGTTAGATTGGACACTGTAGATTTTGAGCAGTCTGGTCTGGTTGTGAACCTGGGACGTTCTTGCTTTTATATAATGAGTGTGCTTACCCTGTTCCATTTTTCAGTGCTCCCTCTTTAAGGTGTTTGAAACATGGAGAGTACCTTGAGGCTTATTAGCCACAAAGATGTTATTTTTCTAGCTGTTTTAATAATTGTATTAAATACTAATTTTTGTAAGTAATGATAAAGGTTGTTTTGCTAATATGTAATGGTTTTCTGTGTTGTTGTCATGAACCATTTTTTTCTCTTTCTTCTGTAGAACATTCCTGATGTAGATGAAGAAGGCTATAGTATTAAACCAGAACCAAATCAGAATGATATCCTTCTATCATTTGGACATGCCATGTGATTTTGTTAGCATATAAGTAGATAATTATAACGAAATATTTTTAGTTAACTGAACTTTAAGTTTTTAGTTAATTCTAGTAAAATGACTTTTTCATTTGACATCTTTTTATTAGTAAAAATTAGTAGCTCTCTTTCAGATAAAGTTTATATATTTCTTAAATATTTCTATTCTTTATTACAAGTATATAAAAACCTGGTTATTCCTTAAGATAACTTAAAAATGAAATTCCTTAACTCATGCTTACATACCAAAGAGAACCATTTCTACTCATCTAGTGACTCTGATTCTGAAGATGAAGAACCAAAGAAGTACCGGATAGAAATCAAACCTATGCATCCAAATAATTCACATCATACAATGGCTTCTTTGGATGAATTAAAAGTATCTATAGGAAATATATCCCTCTCTCCAGCAATATCTGTAAGTAGTAAAATGAGTGATTTTATGCTCCTTATTTATCCTCTTTAGAATGTGTCAAGTTAATGTGGTTTGACTGTTATATTAACAGCAGCGAAGATTGTTTAGTCTATTATAATTTTAGGAAAGAAATTTATGAATTTTGTTTGCATGTAGTTAAAGTTTTACAAGCAAGGAAAAAATTTAGAAAATTCACTCTTAGTGGCACTTGTTGCATTTTATAAATTTTGGAATAGAAGTCTATGAATTACTCAGGTAGCATCAATCTTCATCTAATTTTAAATTTTTCTTCCGTGTTTTATAGTAATTATGAAACAGTTACGTAAAAATGAATTCAAAATTAAATTATTTCTGTAATAACATTTTTTCCTAGACTTGTCATAAAAACAAGGCAAAGATAAGAATTCTTAGTAATTGGGTTAATTCCTCATTTCTAAGGTACTACACTTCATAGCTTCCCCACCCCCTGCATTTATATTTTAAAATTGATGTTTGTGGGATTTTTTATTTTATATTGGATTTTGTACAAAATTTGTATACATTTTATTTCATTCATACACTGTGTTTCACACACTCCTTCATTCACATACTAAATAGCTGTTACAGGATAAAGAAAACACCTTTTCATAATAAATATTTCATTGATGTTGAGAGACTCTAACTTCCCTAATGTTTACCTGTTAAAAAAGTTTGTCTTAGGATGTAAAATAGTTATATCTGTAGATGAATATTGCGACAATATTAAACCTCTTCTCCTTGATAATACTCACAAAAAACTTCTTTGCTGTTGAGTTGGAACTGACTGATCCTGTGTTGGATTCCTGAGACTATAAATCATTACACATGAGCAGTTGGCCCATCTTTTTCTCTAAGAGCCACTGGTAGATTTGAACCACAAGAGAAGCATTGACTTTGAGGGTAGAAGTGCAACCCCCTTCAGACTAGGCCATCAAAGTTGTCTTGTTAATAGAGAATAAAAATTTTCTCATTCCATGTTATTATGTATTTTTATTTTTTAAATAGTATGTATTTTTATAGAAAAAGATTTCTTTTTCAGTCATACGTTTCAGATTTTTACTTTTAAAACTATTTTCACCAAAGCCATACCTTTCTGAAATAAGTTTCTTTTTTTTAATTTGGTTTTTAAATACCTTTTTTGTTTGTTTTTTAAAGTTATTATTAATTTCAGTGAAAATTTACAGAGACTTTGGATTTCTAATAATTTATTGCTGCACTTTTCTCCCCTCCCAACCCTCCTCCCAAAATAAGTTTCTTGTACCATTACATTTAAGAGTCATTTTGGTGCTTGTTTTGGCAGCACATATACTAAAATTGGAACGATACAGAGAAGATCAGCATGAAGTGTTCCATATTTTTTTTTAAAAAAGTCATTTTGGATTGTAGAGTTATGTAACAATATATTGTTACATGCCATTGAGTTGCCTGTGACTCTTAGCAATACTTTATCCAGTATATCTGAATCCTGCCCTGTCTTGAGCCAATCTCACTGACTTCGATACACCTACCCTCATAACCTCCGGTTACTTTGTCAATCCATCTCATTCCAGTGTTTTCGTCTCCTGTGTTGTTTCTCCACCATTTCAAGCATGATGTCCTTCCCCAAAGATTGGTACCTCCTGGCCATGTGCTTACCTGTCAGATACTGTTCTAAAGCTGAGCATCCAAATTAAGACAGATTAGGAAGAAGGATTGGCCATCTACTTCCAAAATTACAGGCCTTTGAAAACCCTATGTCCAATAGAGCACACTTAGAGTAGTAGAAATGGCACCTGAGACTGAGCCCTTGAATTTGGAAACACAAATGAGGAGGAACATTTGTAAGCAGACACTGATGATTGGAACGTGGAATGTGAGAAGAAAGAATGTAGGAAAACTGGCCATCATAAAGAAAGAAATGAAGCTCATAAATATTAACAACTGAGTCAGTGAAATGGAAATGAGATTGACTGGCATGATACTTAACAGTATACAAATAATGAAATACAGAGTTGTGAAACATTTAAAATTTGGTTGTAAAAACCCGCTGGCCTTGAGTCAGTTCTGGTTCTTTGGGTTTATCAGACTGTAAATCTTTATAGGAAGAAACTGCATCATCTTTCAGTAGAGTGGCTAGTGGATTCAAACTGCTGATCTTTTGTTTGGTGGGCCAACATGTAATGTACTCTGCTTCCAGGGTTCTTAATTTTAAAAAGACACATGATAAAACCCCAGAAAACTTGATACACTTACTTCTCATCAATTATCAGGTAGATCTGGTGGCATAGTTTGTAGAGAGTTCCCTACAGTTATGATTTACTGCCTCGGAAACATGTAGGTAGGAGGATCATTGAGTCATTACTATATCAATGGCAGTGCATTTTTCAAGTTTTCTCAACTTGCTATCAACCCCATACGTTGTATTTACAACAGTAGCAAACATTTACTGTTTATTTTATACATCAACAACATATATCTAGTGGTAATGAATGCCAGAGCTCAAGGTCAGAGTTAACAGTAGCTATGATTAATCCATTTTGAGAAGAATGGGAATCCTAAAACACTTGTTTTCCTGTGAAACCTAGACCTAGACCAAGAAGTAGTTGTACAAACAGAGCAAGGGAACACTACATAGTTTAAAATTAAGAAAGAACATCAGAATGGTATCCTTTTCCCTTGCCTAGTCAATATGTATGCTAAGCAAACTATTTGAGAAACTGAACTCTACAAAGAATTTGGCGTCAGGATTGGAGGAAGACCCTGCAATAATCTTTGTTATGCAGATGCTACAACTTTGCTTGCTGAAAGTGAGGAAGACTTGAAGCACTTGATGCAGAAAATCAAATACTGCTGCCTTCATATAGATTGCATCTCAGTGTCAAGAAAAAAATTCTCACCACTGGACAGCTTGGCAAGATCATGCTAGATGGAGAAAAGATTGAAACTTAAATTACTTCATCTTACTTGGGTCCATAGTCATGGTGCTTGGTTCCAGCATTTAAGAGATCAGAAGATCTCTTAAATGTTTTGGAGAAGATGCAGCCAGAGTGCTCTTTGGAGGCAAGGTTGGTGATGCTTTGTCTCACATAGTTTGGGCATGTTGCTGGGAGAGGCTGTTCCTTGGAAAAGGACATCATGCTTGGAAAGGTGGAGGAGGTATGAAAAAGGAGAAAGACAATCCTCAACCAAGTACATTGACACAGTAACTGCAGCAGTGGTTCTTGTGTGTAAGAGATTTTGAGGATGGCACTGGGTAGAACAGGATTCAGATCTGTTGTTCATAGGGTTGCAGTGAGTCATACTTGACTTGATGGCACGTAGCAACAAACATGATGATTAAGGGAGCTCTGGTGGTATAGTTGTAAGGAGTTGCACTGCCAACTCAAAGGGAGGTGGTTTGAATCTACTAGCTGCTTCTCAGAAGAAAAACAGACATTTACCTCCTGTGCAATTTAAGGTCTCTGAAAATCACCTGGAGGTCAGCTGTGAGTGAGTTCCAATTCAGTGGCACATAACAGCAACATTATGATGTTGATGCTTATATGTCATTTTGGTTGTGCTGTGATTCTTAGTGGTCTGGAAGTTATATAGTGATAAATCATTGTCTTTTTTGTGATCGTCCTCCATTTTCACATAGCACCCATTTTTGCATACAGACCTGACTTTTGGAACATCCATGTTGATATATGAAGAATGGATGTATATAATAAGCAGTAAACATTTATGTCTGTCTCGTATGGTCATCAATGATTTTAAATTTGTGCTCTTAAAAAATTTTTTTTAAAAAAAAACAGCAAAAACAATTTCATGCTCACAAAAGGAATAAAAAGAAAAGTGTGTTATTTTTTTTTTTTTAAAGAAAATATTTAGTTGTTAGTACTCGGTTTGGAAAGATCTTTTTGAGGATTCTTTACTGCCCATTTTGCTTATTGCTTATAGAGTCCCTGCTGTCCCATATATATGTTTGAAGGTGTGTATATATTTCAAGTGTGATTCAGAAGGGAGTAGACAAGTTACTAAAACGGAAATTCCATATAGTCTAAACTGAAAATGGTCTTTCTTTTTTCTCTCCATGTACTACTAGAGACACAGTCCGGTAAGTATAAGATTTTATTTTTACCTATGGACTTTCCTTCAAATCTTTATAATATTTGAACATTGATTTAAAAACTATTTATATTAAATTATTTAAGTTAACAAGTTACAAGATCTTGCCATGCATGTGAATATTTTAAAACACTGGATGAAGTATTATTATTTATTAGTATAAAACAAAAACTATTCAAGGTTATGTCTATATATCATTATATTTATATATCAATATGTAGGTTACATTTGAGCAGATATAAGAAAAGCAACTTAAAAATTAGATTGCTAATATTATTATATTTACTAAAAATTTATTGCCAGCTTAATTTGTGGAACAACACTTAGGTTTTTGTTTTCTGTTTTAGGTGCAGATAAATCGGAATTCATCTAGTAAGTTTAGCATTTAAATTGGTTATTTTTTTTCTCTATTAGTTTATTGAGCTGTTGAGACTTAAATACAGAATAAAAGAATAATTTAAATGGAAGACATTTGTGTTTGTTGTAGCATTAATAAACATGACTTAAACTTTGGTATGCATTAAAAAATAACAAAGCTTGGGTGAAAAAATAGCATTGGCATAGCTCATTCAGAACTTATATAATTTTTAAAATAGAGAATGTAATAAAAACTAAAACATGAATTGAAATAAAAATTTGAACACTGTTTAAGACTTACTAAAATCATCCATATCAAAATAAAACAATTTTACCTATAAAGAAATGAGGAGAGTATTCTGATTGTAAGGGAATGAGGACCACAAGAATTAACAGAGGATGCTTGGTTATAGAAATAACAAAAAGGAGAGAGATAGGAGAAAACAGAGAACAGCTTTGAAACAGGACAGACTGCAAATTGAGCCAAAAGGGATATGTATAAATGTGAGTTGGTGTTGTGTACCATGTAGTGCTCCTTCCTTATTTGTGGCAGTTACTTGTATTGGTAATTTTGTGTTCTATGACTTTTGTGACATAAAATACGAAGATGCTGAGAAAATTATGAACCAATAAATTTTCTTTTTTTAATTTTTCTTGTTGTGTGCCATCAAGTCTGATCCAACTGGCACAGGAGATTGCCTGTCCTTCTCCAGTGGAGCATCTAGTGGATTCAAACCATGTGCATTGGAGAAAATGTCAAATTTTTGACACTATTCACCTTTTAAAAATTGGTTATGAAGTTATTTACATTACTGTGTGCAAAAGATGGTGTAAATTGAAAAGACAGCCCTACTGAATGGGCAGAAATACTTGTGATGCACACATTTGACAAGGGTTTAATAACCAGAATATCCTTCTGCATGATTTACAGCCTCTGAAAACCTACTGGAGAGTCAGCTATGAGTTTGTTCCATCTAGATGACAAAGACATTGAGGTTTTTGAGACTCAACAATAGAAAAATCTTCAGTACAAAGTAAACATAGGACTTGACGAAACATTTCACCTATGATATTCGGATATCTAATAATCATGTGTAAAGGTGCTTAGCATCTTTAAGGAAATACAAGTGAAAATTGCAGTGTAATACCACTTCACCCCCAGATGCTGTTATTAGGTGCCTTCGAGTCAAATTTGACTAATAGCTATCTAGTGGACAAGACCTGAGCCCGTCTTACTCCATCTGCAGAATGTCCACTGTACTTTAGCTTATTATCTAATCATGGCATTAACTTATTTCATTGAAAATCTTCCTCTCCTTAGCCAACTTTCTACTTACCCAAGCTGGAGATAATTTTCCAGGGGCTGGACCCTTCAGATAACATGCCCAGACCATGTGAGACACCATCCTTGCCTGTAAATAGCACTCTAACTGCAATTCCTTCATGGCAAATTTGTGTGTTCTTTGGTAATTCATGGTATACTAAATATTCTTAACTAGCACCACTATTCAAAGACACAAGTTCTGTTTTGGTCTTCCTTATTCCTTGTCCAACTTGACAGGTATATGAAATGGCTGAAAATACCATGGCATGGGTCAAGTTTACCTGAATCTTTAAACTGATATCTCTGTTCTTTTAGCACTTTGAGAAGTTCTTTGCAGCCGACTTGCCCAATGCAATATGACATATGGTTTTTTTGACCGCTGCTTCTGTAGTGTTGCTTATGACTTCATGTAAGATGAAATTGTTGACAACTTCAATATTTTCTCTATTTATCATGATGTTGCTTGTAGAGTCCAGTTGTGAGGATTCTTTATTTTCTTGATGTTGAAGTATGATTCATACTGAAAACTGTCGTCTTTAATTTTCAGTAATACTTCACATTCCTTTCACTTTGATTAAGCCAGGTTATCTCACCTACATGTTGAAGGTTTTTGATCAAGCTTCTTATAATATGGATACCACATTCATTCATCTTCATATATAGTTCTGCTTCCCGGATTTTTTATTCAGCATACCAATTGAACATGGTTAGTGAGAGAATACAGTCCTTACACATACATTTCTTGATTTTAAACCATGCAGTAACCCTTTGTTATGTTCTAATGACTGCTTTTTAGTCTATGTAAAGGTTCTGGAATTCCCATTCTTTACAACATTATCTAATTTATTATGATCCACATAGTTGATATCCTCCCACAGCTCATTTAGTCTACAATTTTTGGTGTTCAAGTCCTCAGACCTGTTCTTAAGCTGAAGGAATTGAAAAACAAATTGAAGCTATGAGTGACAACACTTAAGGATACTTTGAGCAGAGTGTTAAATGATCCAAGAAGCATTAAAAGAAGATGAAAGGAGTATACAGAGTCACTGTACCAGGAGGAATTGGCTGACACAGAATAATTTAATGAAGTAATTGTATGAGCAGAGCCTATGGTGATGGAGGAAATTCAAGTTGCTCTGAAAGAATTGGCAAAAAACATGGCTCCAGGAGTTGAAGGCATACCAATTGACATGTTTAAAAAAACAGATGCTGCTCTGGATATGCTCACTAGGTTTTACGAAGAAATCTGGGGGACAGGCACCTGGCCAACTGACTGGAACAGATCAATATTTGTTCCCATTCCAAAGAAAGGTGACCCAACAGAATGTGGAAATTATTGAACAGTATCATTAATATCACATGAAAGCAAGGTTCTGCTGCAAATTATCCAAAAATGACTGGAGCAGCACGTCAGCAGAGAACTGCCAAATGTGCAGGCTAAGTTTACTAGAGGCCTTGGTATTAAGGATAATATAACCTATGTTAGATGCATCTTGGCAGAAAGCAGAGAGAAATGTCTGTCTGTGCTTCATTGACTATGTAAAGGCTTTTGGCTGTGTGGAACACAACAAGCTATTTCTGAGAAGAATGGAAATCCCAGAACATTTGATTGCGCTTATGTGAAACCTATACTTGAACTAAGAGTCAATTGTCAGAACAGAGCAAGGAGAAATGGCATGGTTCAAAATTGGGAAAGGCGTCCGACAGGGATGTATTCTGTCTCCATACCTTTTCAGACTGTATGCAGAACAGATCATCTGGGATGCTGGGCTGTGTGAGGAGGAATGTGGCATTAGGATTGGCAGAAGATTCATCAACAACTTGCGTTATGCAGATGACACAACCCTGCTTACTGAAATTGAGGAGGACGTGAAGTGCCTGCTGCAGAAGGTCAATGACTGCAGCCTTTAATACGGATTGAAGCTCAGCATCAAGAAAACAAAGATTCTCACCACTGGGCCAATTTGGCAGCATCATGATGGATGGTGAAGAGATTGAGATAGTTAACAGTTTTAGTTTGCTTGTCTCCACAGTCAACACTCTGGGTACCAGCAGCCTGGAAATCAAGAGACTAATTGCATTGGGAAAGTCAGCTGTCAGGAACTTCTCCAGACTACTGAAGAACAATGATGTCAGGCTAGAGACTAAGGTGCACCTGATCTGGGCCATACTCTTTGCAGTTGCATGCTATGCATTGAAGAGTTGGACAGTGACTAGGGATGATAGAAAGAGAATTGATGCCTTTGAGCTGTAGTCCTGGAGAAGAGTGTTGAATTTACCATGGACTGCTAGTAGAATAAACAGGTTTGTCCTGGAGAGGGTGAAACTAGGCTACTCCTTAGAGGCAAGGATTCTGAAGCTTCATCTGACATACTTTGGGCATGTTGCAAGGAGGGAGTAGTCCTTGGAGAGGGATGTCATGTTTGGGAGAGTGGAGGGAACAGTGCAGGAGAGGGAGACAGTTGATGAGATGGATCGATTCAGTTATTAGGGTAATGGGAGTAAGTGTGTCAGAGACAGTAAGGTTGGCACAAGATAGAGCAGAATTTAGGGCTGAGTGTCACTATGAGTTGCAAGTGACTTGACGGTACATAACAACAACCACAACCATATAGTTGAGTGCTTTTGAAATTAATAAAACAAAAGTATTTTTCAGGAACTCTGCTTTCAGCCAAGATCTGTCTAAAATCAGCAGTAATATCCCTGATTGTCTGGCCTCTTCTGAATAATTTTGAAATTCTGTTAATCCTCTTGCTACAGCCATTTTTGAATAATTCTCAATAATATTTTACTTGTGCTATGGATGATAACATTAAATAATTTCCACATTCTCTTGTATAACGTTTGTGTGGAATGGGCACACCTAATGATCTCTTTCCATTGTTTGACCAGATAGTGATTTTTCAGGTTTCTTTTTTAAAAAAAAAATCCTCACAATTGTCTTATAATTAATACTCCCTAGAAAATGAAGCTTGATATTATTTACAATTATACCAATATTTTTAAGGTTGACCGTCACAGGCGTAAAGGTCTACTATGATCACAAGAAATCCATTCATCCTCCTACGTTTATATTTTAGCTATGAAGGTCCAGAGCAAATTGTTTTTAACAAGTAGGATTTTTAGGCCCATTCATTCCAGAGTGTCTTAGGTCTGAGTCTATTAATTTGCAAACAGGAGTAGAAACTTGAACCAAATTCTTCCTATCATGCATTCAAATGTGATGCCAAATCTTGATATTCTGTATAAAGGGAGTGAATCAAAGCAGAGCCACATACATGAGAAACTTGCTTCTGGAAGAGGTAATATCCTCACACATCGTCTGTTTCGTTTCCTCTGGGTCTAACTTTGGTGAGAGGTTCTTGATCCAGAACATTAAAGTTCTATTTTCCCGTACTACCAAGTGGGATCCTCTGCTCTCTTCAAGTGCCACATTTCTTGATGTAGATGAGCAATTACATCCAGGACTGTGTCTTTTTGTTGAAACTTCTCAGTTGATATTGTAAGTTGTTGAAGCCTTGCCTTTTGTATAAGCTTTCAGTGCAACTTGGATTTCTTCCCTAAGAATCTTGATTATCTGCTGCTTCCAGAAGGAGTACAATATTGACCAGTTCTTGGTAGTATTGTGACTCTTTGTAATCCTTCATCTTCTTTTTGAAGCTTCATATGTCACTTGAGTTTCCCCCTTCAGTTCTTTAGCTTTGAGAAATGCAGAATGTGTTCTTCCCTTTTGTTTTTGGGTGTTCTGGATTTTTTTTTTCCTTTTTTTTCTGCTCTGTACTATCATAACTGAAATTTTATGTACAAAGCATTGGTCTTGTTTCTTGCCATGTAGACATCCTGGCTAAGTTATTCAAGGAAGATCACTTAGTCCAACTTGATAAAGCTGATATCCTTGGCGTACTAACAGAAACACTGGGGCACATATTGAGTCCGTATTTCCGGATCAGCCCTTAAGTGTTTGAGCACACGATTTTCACAGGTGACTTTAGTTGAGTTGCTGTTGACCCACCTTGCTTGGTTTTTTAATGCCAAATCTTTGTACATTTCATTATAATCCTTTACTTTTCTTGAGTTACTCTTTGTAATTTTTTGTTCACCACTCTTCATCATGTCTTTCATTTACTTGAGTTTCTCTTGAGGAAGTTTTGGAGTCTCTTTTGACAGTCACTTGGATTTTTTGTTTGTTTGGGTTTTTTTCCCTTGGCTATCTTTCTAGTGATCTTTTACTTTCTTAAGGGAACTTTGGTTTAATCCATTAAGGGTTTGAGCTACTCCTAGCCCAAAGGCCTCTGCCGTTTGGATTCATCATTGGCTGTGAGGGGACCATTCATGTGATTTTCACCTCTGCTGGAGGATCAGCTATAGGTTGATTGCACTTGGGAAGGCAGGGAACTGAGTTTGCTTTTTGTTGTTTGTAGACTTCTTTTAAGGTTCTTCAGCTTCTATTTGAATTTGCCTGTGAATAAATGATGGTCTGTCCCACAGTCAGCCCCTGGTCTTTTTTTAACTGCTGATATTGAACTTCTCCAGAGACTCTTTCCACAGATGTAGTAATTCTGATTCCTGCGTAGTCCATCAGATGTGGTCTGTGTATATAGTCACCACTTGGGCTTTTTAAAAAGGTTGTTGTTTGGTGCTATCGAGTCCAATAAAACTCATAGCAACTCTATGAACAGCATATCTGAATCCTGTTCTGTCTTTAGCTATGCTTACCATCTCTGATAAACTATACTCACTTGAGCCCATTGCTTCAATCACCATGTCAGTCTTTCTCAATGGGGGTCTTCCCTTCTTTGCTGACCTTCTACCCTTCCAAGCATGATAAGCTTTTCCAAGGAATAGTTTCTCCTAGCAATCTGCAGAGTAGGAAAGACTTTCTTTAAAAAAAGGTATTTATCAATAATAAATCATTGGTTGTACAGAATTCAATCATTCCACCTCCAGCCGTATTTCTGTTCCCAAAACTGTGTTTTCAACTACCAGTCTTTTTTTGTTTCCAACATTTGCATTCCCATTACCAGTTATTACAAATGCATTTTGGTTTCAAGTTTTATCAATTTCAGACTGCAAAAAAAAATACTCTTGATCAAAACTGTGATATTACCTAGCAATTTTATTCCTTCTTGTTGTTTTGTGTCATCAAGTCAGAACCAACTCCTAGCTGACCCACTAGCAAATTTTCAGAGGCACTGAATTGCATGGGAGGAGAGTGCCCATCTTTCTGCTGTGGAGCAGCTGGTGGATTTGAACTGCATGCTTTAGAATTGGCAATATAGCTTCTTAGCACTAGGCCCCCAGAGCTTCAAGTTTCCAAAAGAAGGCAAAGACTTAAATATTTCTACACCAAAGTTCATTATAGAAGTACTCACAGTAACAAAAAGTAGTAACAGTCCCTCACAGATAAATAGATACAGCAGAATTGGCCTGTTTGTGCACTGGGATTTTTTTTAGCCGTGTTTTTGTTGTTGTTATGTGCCGTTGAGTCGCTTGCGACTCATAGCGACCCTATGTACAACTGCCCTAAACTCTGCTCTGTCCTGTGCCAGTCACACTGTCTCTGACACACCTATCCCAATTACCCCAGTCACTGAATCAATCCATCTCATAGAGGGCTTTCCCCTCCTGAGTTGTCTCTTCACCCTAACCAAGCATGATGTCCTTCTCCAAGGACCAGTCCCTCCTTAAAACGTGTCCAAAGTATGTTAGACGAAGCCATAAGAAATAAAATAATACATGCTTTAATAAAAGCATTTTGTTAAGTGAAATACTCAACATAAGATGAATAATATTGTACAATCACACTCATGACATATCTAGAACAGGCAAATGTGTGGAGCCTGGAGTTTATGTTTACCATTAACAGATGGGAGAAATTGGAGAATTAATGCTTACATAATGAGTTTGTATTATAATTGATGGAGAAAAAATTTGAAAATGGATAAGTGATATGGTTGTACACATAGTATAATTAATGTCACTGAATTGTACACATTAAAATGGTTGAAATGGCAAATACTTTCTAATTTTTTACCATATGATACATTTTTTTTAAAAAAACACCAGCAAAACAGATTGTCTTATAAGGAGACTGTTGTGCTGATTTTGTATAAATTTTTAATTTTCTAAAATAAGACTTCCTTCAGAAGTTTGATTTTGGTGCATATAACACCACTAATAATACTCTTGTTAGTACTATTATCTTACTAATAGGGAACTTTAGTGGCCTAGTGGCAAGAAGTTGCCCTGCAATCCTGAAGGCAGGCAATTTGAGACCACCAGCTGCTATTCTTGTTGTTGTGTACTATCGAGTTGGAACCAACCCATAGCTAAGTAACCTTCTGGTGGGTTTTCAGAGGCAGGCAATCGTACAGGAGGAGATTGCCCATCTTTCTCATATGGGGCAGCTAGTGAATCCAAACTGTGTGCCTTTGGGATTGCAGTACAGCTTCTTGCCACTAGACCATCAGAGCTCCCTGATAATATTCTTAGAGCTTGAAAAATTCCATTTTAATTCATAGCAATCAGAATTTGTAAGCCAACTTTACACAAATTTTTAAACACTTTTAAAAGTCTTTCCTCTAAACTATTTTAATGAATATCATAGTTGAGTTGACATAAATAATTTCTTGCCAAAGATGTTACAGGAAATCAAGATTTAGCAGAAATTCAGATTTTAATATTTTTGAGCACAGTAACAAACTTTGTAGGAGCATACTTTCCTTTTTTTTCATAATTATTTATATTGATGTGTATGGTTCCAGAAGTTTTTAAGGGTTTATGATGGCCAGTTGATATGTATGCAGTGTTTCATTTTACATTAAAATATTTTATTACTCAAACTAAGATTTTTTTCCCTAATTAATTTCTTAATTAGGTGAAGAATTAACAAAATCAAAACCACCGGCTCTATCCAGTGAGTAAGTATCAGTTTAAGTATTCCCCTCTCCCCCGTTTTCTAGAGTGTTTTTATTACTGCAGTTTTAGTTCCAGTAGAGTTTTGCTAATCATCCTGTTTCCTAAGCAGCAAAACATCATGGTGGATTTCAAAGTATTTCTCACTTGAAAGATGTCATTTTGCAATCTATTCAACCATAATTGACCTTGGTGTCCAAAGTGCTTCACATGTCTATGTTTTAGTTAGTTTTACTCATGAAATTCTCCTCCTTTTTACTCTCAACTTTGGCTGTGATCTTGTGAAATGGCTGTGTAGTTCATGAGTTTTCAGAAATGAGGAAGTACTTCAATTAAGTGGAAATGAGAGAAGTCTAGAAGACATGTATGTTGTCAACTCTTCTTAGGACAAAATTAAGCCAGCATTAAATGACTTTTCCACCTCTATATCTGTTAGTAAAAATGATAATGTCTTTTGTTTCGGTATTTGGTTGATTGTTTATTTGTTTGTTTGTTTTACATGAGTAAGTCATGTTCAGAAGGGTAGAGGGACAGTGCAGGAGAGGAAGACCCGGATGAGATGGATTGATACAATAACTGGGGCAGTGGGGGTAGGTGTGTCAAAATCATTGAGACTGGCTCTGGACAGGGTAGGCTTCAGAGCTGCTGTACATAGATAGCATCACTATGAGTCACAGGTGACTCGCTGGCACATAACAACAACAAGGTATAGGAATTGGATAGTTTAAGATTATATGATAGTCACTAATTGGTCAGTAATTGACCACATCATTTGATCAAGCTATTTAATTTTTAAAAGCTTTGTTTTTAGAAATTATTTTTTCAATTGTTATGTTTTATCATATAAATTTTAATATATTACCTGAAAACATTTGAATTCTAGGTATGTGCTTATAGATCATTGCAACATTTTCATTATGGTGGGCCTGCAAATTATTATTTCTTAGCATTTTTTTCCAAACAATGGAAGTTGAATATATTAACATGTAAAGTTCTAATTCTGTACTTTAAAAATAACAAAATAGAGAAGTGGGCAGGGAGGAAAATGTGCAACAATGAATGAATGGAAATCCAAGTTCTCTATAATCTTTCATTAAAATCTCAAAAAAATAAGTAGTAGCAAAATATTATTTATCCTTTACTGTTCTTTCAGGAATCCCTAGTGGTACAGTGGTAAAGCACTCAGTTGCCAACCACAGTGTTGGTGGTCCAGTCTCACTAGCTCTTGTATGGGAGAAAGATGGCAATCTGCTTCTGTAGAGACTTACAGCCTTGAAAACTATGTTGCAGAAGTACTGTCTTATAAAGTCAACTATGGGTAGGATCGACTCAGTTTGGATGTGTATACTCTTTTCTTTACCTTTGAAAATACATGTGGCTGCATACCCTTAACTCCTTCATCTTTGGAAATTAGTGTTGTTGTTGTTGTTATGTGCCGTCGAGTAGTGTAGCTTATGAAAATTCCTACCCAATTTCACATCATTTAAGAAATATTCTAGGACTCTGTACTATGCTATGAATCATCCTGCCCGAGATTGTTCTAGTTGTGTATCCTTGGGAAGCTTTTCTTAATCTGAAAATCTGAAATAATTATTCCCATTCTGACATTGTCTAAGGTTATAAGAGTATATAGCAAAGTATAATCAATGGGAATTCATCTTCTTGAGTCCCCTGACAGTTTTTTTCCATATACATCTCTCCTTACTTATTGACATGATTAAGTCCAAGTACAAGATTGTTCTACACAAATGAATGTTAGGCCAAAATAGGAGGATGACCATATCAGATTATAAAATATTAAACGGACTACATCATTATGTAATGTTCAAATTGTATTGTTATGTGACTATCAGATTTCACCATTACTGGAAAAATGTTGAGAATCATGGCCCAACCAAGTTGATGCATAATTATAATTATCATAGCCGTTGTTGCTCTTGCCTTGCACTTTGTGTTTGTTACTACCAGACAGACATTGCTGGATAGTGGATTTTTTTATTATTGCCAGAAGTGTGAAATGCCAGATAAGGATATAGTCACTAAGTGAAGAATGTTCCTCCTCATCATTAAGTGAGGAAAGTTATTGTAGATTCTGCTTTTGGCACTTAAATTAATACTGGTTTATAAAATCTGCTTTTCATATATTAATGAACGTAGCCATCTTTTAAATTATGTATACCGAGGTATTTTAGTTTCTCCTGTGAAAAAAGATAAGTGACTAGATTTTAGACTAATAACTATTCATTTGCTAATTTTTTTAAAAATTATTTTTCAAATGTTATGATAGGAAAGGGACCAGTGATTTGCTTGCTTGGGACCCCCTGTTTGCACCATCTCTTGATTCATCATCTTCAACTTCACTAACTTCATCGTTATCAGGTAAATATATATGTCTGTCTTTCTTTCTGTGCTTGCGTAGTAGTATTTTTCGTAACTGACATATAAAATGATAACCTTTTCTTAAATTGCTTTATTCACAAGTTATATGTTGTGTTTAATGATAAATTTTATTAGCTTGTTCTTTAATGATATTGCTAGTTAAAAGTGGTATTTTTGGTTACTTTAACTTAAAGATCATGTGGTAAAAACTTAGCAAAATCATAAGGTTTTTTTGTCTATATTTTTAATTTTTATGATTCCTATGAATGAGTATTGATTTTCAAAAATTGTGGAGAACGTAAGTACATAGACATACGTACATTAATATACTGACTTCTTGATGAGCACACAAGTTGTTTCTAAGTATTGTTATGAAATCTGTGAATATAAAATTCAGCTGATGTTTATTCCTATAACTTACCAGTATTAAATTTATTGGTCAGAGAATGTATCCGTTGATACCTAGTGCCAAATTGCTTTCCAGAAAGGCATTATGCTTTCTAAGTATATATATGAAAGAACTTGATGTTTTAATAGTTGTATTGTCAAGACATAATTATTCATCATCTTATTGTTTCTTGCTATTTTATTTAGCACAATCTCTTCCTTTTCAAAAAACCTCTCTATTCCTCTTGTTACCTGTCTAAAGAATATTTTGCCCATATCACCTTCACTTCAAGTAAAAAAAAAAGGTACATGTTCTCTTTAACAGCTAGGAAATATTAAGACATTTGGTTAATTGTTGCTAGTGTTTTAATTCACTACATTTAAAAAAATCACTACATTTAGATTTCAAAGTATAAAATTCACCACTGGCCAAATACTGAATTAAGCATTGAAAACATATGCATTTAACAAAATCATACTTCTTCAGAACAAGAAAATAAAACAACTTTAAATTGATCTTTAAACTTCTCCTCTGCTCTGGAATTTCAGAATTTCCATATAGTATTTGGGATTTTGGAACTGCTAGAATTGGGATGAGAGTATAGGATAAGAATGACATTTATTGAGTTCCTGCTGTGTTACGCTTCTAGGAGCTGTATACATTTCATTTAATCTTATTTTATTAACAGCTGCATAATATACTTAATTATAGTTTCTATTTCACAAATGGGTATACTAAAAGCTTAGAGAAGATGGATAACTTTGCCATAATCATATAGCTAGGAAAAGATGAAGCTAATAATCAAACAGAATTTTTAACTTAAAAAATTTTTGTTTTATATGCATTACGCTTAGGCAGATAAACAGAAAAGAAATAATTTGAATATTTTATTATGAATAATAAATACTAGTACTTAAAATTAGACTCTTTAGAGTTAATATTTTTACACTAAATTTTACATGGATTAAAGGCATCTTTGATCCAAACAATTTGAAATTTTGAAGGAAGGGTGATTGTATGTATCTAAAGCTTTTCAAACAGCAACAAAGAGGTCAGTAAGTGTTGCATATTTCCTGAAGTAACATTATTGCTTTCTCAGTGGGTAGAATTGTTACCTTTCATGTGAGAGCGCTGGGTTTGATTCCCAGGTAATGTATCTTTTTTTTTTTTTAAATTATTATTATTATTTGTGTGTGTACCGTCAAGTCAGTTATGACTGGTACAGAAGGAAATTACCCCTCCTTTTCCAGCAGAGCATCTGGTCAGGTAATGTATCTTAAGTCCACTCACTTGTCATCCCTCTGTCAGTGATTTGTAGGTTCTCCATTACTTAGCAGCCAATTTGTGGCAGCTAACAAACTTTTTGGTTAATTGTTGCTAGTGCTTTTTTTTTGTTGCTAGTGTTTTAATTCACTACATTTAATAACCACCCTTTATATTTAAAAAACAAGTTATAAATTATTTCATCTTCAAAAACTGTTAGTGATGTTGAAAAAAATTCAAAATTGGGTACTATCAAGTACAATTCATAATAACCCTATGAACAGCCAACCTGAGCCCTGCCCTGTCTTGTACTATCTTCATTATTTCTGACACAACAGACACACTAGAACTCATTGCTGAAGTCATTGTTTCAGTCCTCTTGTTGGATGTTTTCTCCTTCACCGACCTTCCATCTCTCCAAGCATGATTTTAGAATCTTGTTATATAGGAAGCACTGGTGGAGTAGGCCATAGGGATTTGTATTGCTAATCTAAATGCCATAGCTCTCAGCTTTCTGATGGTTCACATTTATCAGTGTGACTTCTATGGAGAAAGATAAGCAATCTTCTTCCATACAGATTGTAGCCTCAGGAACCCAGTGGAGGTTCAGCTGTGAGTTGATTCCAACTCACTGAGTATGCAATCGTGTTATATTGTCATTTATTCAAGCTTTTACTTGAGCAACTATCGCTAAAACAGCATTTCTTTTATGGTCTTGTTTTGCAGTGTGAAATTGTGATACAGAATTTGTGTCTTAAATTTTGTGTCACTCCTTTTTGCCAAATAATACATTCCTCTCCCATTCTCTACTTAGTCATATTATCACATTTTAGTAAGGTCCAAGTTGTCTGAGTGTTCCCTCCCTCCTTTGCTACCTTAAGTTCTTCATGTCTGTTAAATTATTAGAAAGCAGTCTAAGGAAAGAATTTTAAATAACCCAATAATAATTATGAGAGAAAAGCTGTTTTATAACTAATGTGTTATATAACTAATGTGTTAAGCTTCCCGATGTTGTTGTATGTTCTGAGAGAATGTTTAGAGCTAGGCAGAGATGTAATTTATATGCCTCTTCTACCATGTGGGCTGGTATTTCTCAGCAATTTTTTTACTTTTCCCTTTGTTGTAGAGGTTTATGTAATAATGCCCCCGGCTGGCTCTCCACATGGATATATTTACAGCACTCATGTTGCACTGTCATCTACAAAACCTATGCATGTCTTCACATGCACCTTTTAATTTGACATATTTCATACCTTCCCCTTTAATAAAACGTATTAAACTTATTTTTCTTCTCTGCTTAAGGAATTAAGAAGAGCTTTTGTGCTCTGCACAGAAACTTGTAACTGCCTTTTGAAAAAATTGGGCTTATTTTCATCTTAACTTGGGCACTGATTTTGTCAGCTTACTTCCTTTGACACTTTTGATACTCATCACTAGCCAGTTAGGAACATTCTGAGTACCACCCACATATGTGGTGAACTATCACTTTGACATCTTTTCACACTTTGTACGGTTAACTTTGTTCCTGTAGGAAAACAAGGGTCATTTTGGTAAATATATTATGCTTATACTTGCTTTAGGGAGCACTGGTAGCCTGGTGATAAGGAGTTGTGCAGTCAACCCAAAAGGCTGTGGTTTGAATTGTGTGGAGAGGAGAAAGATGTTTGTTCTGTCCTGAGTGATTTACTGCCTTTGAAAATCTGCTGGAGGGGCCACTGTCAGTGGGTTCTGACTCAGCAGTACATAACAACAGCAACAATAAGCTTGCTTTGCTCAGTCACTATAAAATTTAAGCTCTTGTTCCACATATTTATTTATTTTTTCAAATTTTAGATTATAAAATGACATACTGAGAGAATCATTTGGCTGTATAAATTTATATTTGAATTTTATGATTTTCTTGTTCCTTCTAGTTTTCAATTATATTTTGTCCTTTAGCTACATTAAAACAATAGAATGGGGGGGGGGGCGTACTCTGGTGGCCTAGTGATGTGAACCTACACTGCAATGCCAGATGTACGTGATTCAAATCCACCAGATGCTCTGCTCGAGAAGGAGGGGCAAGCTGCTCCTGTACCAGCCAAATCCGATTTCACGGTACACACACACACACACACACACACACACACACACACACACACAAATTTTAAAAAAGAACAGAATAGGAACTCCTCTTCCTCCCTCCTAATTTGACTGGGTGTGTAATAACTGATGATTTTATAACAGCATACCATGTTGTGGCCACCAGTGGCCTAGTGGTGAGGGATTGTGCTGTCAATCCAAAGGTGTGCAGTTTGAATCCCTGCTCTGAAGGAGAAAGATGAGAGCTGTCAACTCCCGTGAGATTATTTATTTATTTCTAAATGCAGTGAGATTTACGTCCTCTGAAAATTCACTGGAGGTTAGCTATGAATTGGTCCCAACTTGATGGTACACAACAACAATATGATAATCGAATATTTATTAGGAACTGGATCAGATGCTAGGTGTCAAAGCCCATCAACAGACTTTTCCACTGATCTGCTATGTAACAGCACCATCAGAGAACACAGATAAATTTCCTTTAGCTACATGGTCACCAAATCACTGAATTTCTCTTTGCTAATGAACCTGTTACAGTTAATCACTCCAGTGCAACCCACAAGGCATTCCAGAGGTTGTATTGTTTTTTTTTTTCTATAATTAT